CCCCAAAACCCCAAAACCCCAAAACCCCTTAAACTCAAATTTGATATTAAATATAGGAAACGATAATTAAATTTGAAAATATTAGAAAAGTAGCATGTTAGTAAGGATTACTATATAACAAGTAAATCAATGTTTCTTGAGAAGTTGAACTTAATAATCATATTCTTTTAAATACTCAACTACCTGCATTGGTTTAATTAAGCATTACTGATATAATGTGTTAAGAAATGTTAGCAGCATTTCTCTAGTCATTTCCAAAGACTTTTCTTTCGCTATTTGAACAATAAATGGAGGCAGAAGTTCTTAAGTCTTGGTAGTATCATTGACATTCTTAGTCTAATTACAGATTACAAGCTTATTCCATAGAATCATAAAATACTTCAACTCTTTACTATAAATTTGATTTGTGATTTAAAGCTGCTAGATTTTCTATAGAAAATATCAATTAAGAGATGATCCAATTTAGCAAATATTTTATAATTACCTTTTCCGTTATTGTTAATTATAGATGGATCTATTTTTGTTGAGTTTTTCTTTCATTCAATTACTCCAATTAAGGCTCTTTCTATGTTCATTATCTAATAAAGAAATTTTACCTCGATTGGAAGACCAGTTTCAGCATCATGAAATATTACATTCATATTTTTACCTTGAATATATTTCAGCTATAGATTCTGCAGTTTCTCCAAATCTCCGATTTGCTTTTTGCTCTACATCTATCCAATCTTATTGATGGCTTAATATATCTTTTCAACCATGGGCGATTCTACATCTATTTGGTATAGGCAATGCAAGATTTTTCTTAGCATTGATTCATTGTAGCCCTCTTGCCAGATTTAATTAATCAGTTTAACTTTGTTGAGTTGCTAATCTTGATCTGCCTCTTCTTCAACAAATATAACTAATTCTGGCACAATCTGATTCAAAGCATTGATTTGCTTGATGATATAGCCAATCTTGTATTTGATGTGCTACATGCAGTAATGCAAGCACAATGTCTCTAAATCCCCTCCTTCAAACTAGCACAGATAGCAACGAATCTGTTTAGTTGACCATATGGCTAAACCGGAATTGGTTTGATCAGCAATTTGGTTTGTGACCACATAGCATTCCTTCACATTATCCTTGATATCCGAATCCCATAAAAGCTTCTTCTGGCATACAAAGGTGCTTTAGATGTTTTTATAGTGCTAGGGGATTTGGAAATAGTTTTGCAGCAGAGTTTTATATTTATTCGAAAGAGTTATCACATGATCCTTAGTTCCGTAGCCCTAACTCAAATAATCCCTTAGAATACTTTGCATCTCCAATTAAATACTATATTAAGAAACTGATTTTATTAAGCCAAAAATATTAAAGCGTAGATTTGTGTTTCTCTAATATCTTAATAGATCTAACCAAAGGGGTTTTGGGGTTTTGGGGTTTTGGGGTTTTGGGG